CCCCTATTAAAGGGGCGTGTAGCATAGCAGAAATCTGAGAAGTGCCATAAATTTCGGCGCCAAGCCTCGGGCCGAAAGTCTCAGGTAAAGGGCCGCAACACTTACTATGGTGGAGCATTACGTAGTTGTTATTAATGGCACACTTCACAGCAGCACATGACTGACCATCAAAAAAGAGCCTTAGCCTGCTGATAGGCACCTAAGTACAGCAGGCCACGCTCGGCCTTGGGAAGTTTGACTAGTAAACTCTGGCATACTCTGAGTGCTCATACTACTTTGAAGTAGCATTTGCACTCTTCGCAATAACTACGATGACACTAATATGTGCTCAGACTCCCAGCAGTAGTAGTTCGTCCGGGGCAACATGATAGAAAAGCCCAAACACGCATAGATTCAACTAACTTAGCACTCCCGATTAGCACTTCCTGAACAGAGAGCATATGTTGGGAAATCAAAGGGATGAAACTGTGTCAGATCCATTATTCTGGGTCCATCATAGGAGGTATATTACGATGGTGCAGGCAACTAGTGGTAATCCTAGCTCGAGTCCAGCAACAGTTTGTTTACGCGACTTACGCGGCATGATTGGGTGGGGCGATAGTGGACGTCAACAAAGCGATAGCGCGTATCCAATAGTTAACCTTCTGGGAAGGCAAAATCTTCGTGTGCTAACAACTGAGAGCAGTCAGTGATGATTTGACTGCGAGACAGAACTGCATCGCCTTGGACCCTTGAACCCTTTGCACCTACCTGCACTTTCTCACCGCCTTCTTTCCACGTCCACCGTCAACCTGAAACGCAGCTCAACCTCCTCACACGACCTCTTCATCTACTCCTCTACTGTGCCCTCCGAGAGACACGATTTTGGTGACCATCTGTATTCCTGTGTGCTTCAGCCAGACTTCATTCCGCATACAGCTTTCGAAAGGTCACTCATTTGTGTTTCTTTTGCCGACAGCGCAACGTTTATTTGCCTCCCGTTTAGGAACCAATCCTCACATATACTGACACCACCTTTTACACCACTTCTCTGGCTCATTCAGTTGAGAGAATTGCGCACGGAAACCGTGGACATCTCTTCAGCTCCTCATTGGCTTCTGCTCTGGGAAAGTGTTCTACTGAATCATTGGGGTTCCTGTTGCGGGAATTGACAAATTGTGGGATCACGAAATTGTGTTTTTGATGGGCCACAAGAATCACCATGGTGTCAACATATTCGCCGCATCGAGATGCAGGCGGAACGTTACATTTACATACTCCAACAAACCTCCATCATATAGATGCAAACTCTGCGATTCAGGAACTGCGTCGTTCGCTGTCAAGGTCGCCATCAAAGCTTGCTGACTACCGAAATTATTCATCACGATCACATTCACCTTGCACAATGAATGTCCCCTTTTCGCCCTCTCCCCTATCACCTTCTCGGAGATCATGTTCAGATAATAATCTGAACATACCAAGCCCATCATACACGCCTTCCCACGCCATTCCCTATCCTCCAAGTGCGCGAGCAAGTCGACCCACTTTGCGACGCAGTGTTCAGTCGCAAAACCTTCCGCGAAGCGCAAGAACCTCGCCAAAAAGCCCTTCGAAGCGACCTTTGGCAGATTTGTCTGATGGTGGCAATGTACCTTCCATGCCGTTGAGAAAGCGAAGCTCTACAGATGCACAGTGTGATTATCCGAATGACACCTTCTCACTAGCTGTCGATAAAGAGAATGAGGATGGGATGGATTTCATATCAGCCTCAAAAATGACGACTTCCAAGTCTGAGAAACGTATGAGCGGTCATTTTGGCTCAAAATCATCAGCACCTAGTCCAATGAAACGGAATGACGGATTATTAACCATCGAGCGGTCAAGTTTCGGCAGCCCTTCCGCAAAGAGGCGGAGTCTCCATGGACCAAGTTCGGACTTCAACATATTCGAATCAGAGCCGCAAAGCGGCGCATCGGAGAGACGGTCCATGGATGATGTGGACTGGTCTGCAAGATATGGACTTCCACCAACGAACTCATACTTCAATACGATTCCGAAAAGATCGTCGTCCCTTCGAAAGTCAACGCTCCAGCAACGCCAACTCGAACGGCCTGCCAATGCTAAAGGCTCGTCTTCCATGCAATTTGCAACAGGCACACCAGGACCACAGAATCAGAAGAAGGGACAACGAAGCTCTCTCGACAACCATCTCCCGCCTATGCAGCGTGACAGTCCTTTCTCGAGCCAGGGGATTCTACTCAATGCTTCAATCCATCCGCTTGGTCAAGGCCAAAGTCAGAGCCAGAGTCAGAATCAAAGCGCTCAAGCTTCACATCCTCCGCACCCTCTTTCTCGGACAATGACCCAGTCGTCGTCAACATCGAGCATTGCTGACGACTCGCCAACCCACGAGCCGGTCCATCGTCCGGATCGACCAAAGTCAATGTTCGACTTTTCAAAATCACTTCCGATTGGTGCTTCAAGACCCTCAGTCTTTGCAGAGGAGGATTCTCAGGAGTCTTCGCAAGGTTCTTTCGCAACACCTGCCAATTACAAATCCGCCAAACCACTACCAGCTGCTTTCATGTCCACTGGACTTATATCCAAGAAGAACCGAAATGTCGATGATCCTCATGGAGGCTTGCCGAAGGCCCATATGCCGGATACACCTTGTAAGAAACAGATGATACCGTTTCCGGCTGCATCGAACTTTGCGCCTGCTGGGGCAGCCAAGGTGGCAAAGCCGGCGAGGCATTCTTTCGGCACGCCCTCTACTCCACTGAATTCTCATCATAGTGTAGTGATACCGGCGCCCTTTACTTTTGGTAAGGGGATAGGCATATTTGGTGCAACTGGTGGCAAGAACAGTTTAACCAAGAAAGCTAGCTTTGCCAGCATTGATGGGGAGGAGAATTCTCAGCCACAATCGCCGACTCCCCGTGACAGCCAGACTTCGACAGACTCGGAGTACCCGCCGACTCCTACCAAACGTATTCTTGGAGAACACCAGAGTGTATCCCGTCCTTCCAAGTCGGGATCAGGGGAGAGATCTCGTCTTTCAAGCAGCTTCAGCTCGAAGCCTGCCACGACGTCTAGGCTGACAAGCAGTAAGTTATCTCCTATTGGAGCTTCTCCAGGAAGCGTCGACGGGGACAGTGATAGCGTAATGGAAGATTCGCCTTCCGCTAGCCTGAGACCTAAGTCGACGTTAACTGCCATTTCCGCTCCTTCTTCATCGTTCACCCGAGGCCGACTGCTGAGGAACCTAAATTCCCCTACCCCCCTCTCGCGGAAGGCTCTCACTCTTCCTTCTTTCGGCCTCTCGCCAAGATCAGGACGTACTAAGTTAGATTGCCTTTCTCCAGTGAGCCCCCACCACGAACCAAGCCAACGAAGCTCGCCCCGTACACCGCAGGAGCATCTCCTACCTCCAGATCCAAGTGGTCTGTCGATATCAGGGCATAGCGATCGACCCTTGTTCCACCGAGGAACAAGCAGTGCATCTGGAATGCCAGCCACGCCAACCGGGCCTCGAGACTATTTCAAGAGCTTCTCAAATCGGCAGAGCCTGAATCTCACTGCGGGAGAGTCCACGGATGTTGACCAGTGCCTGCTATCCAAATTCGAGAGAGTCGAGCTGGTTGGGACTGGCGAGTTTTCTCAAGTCTACCGAGTCGTGGCAGCTTCGAATCCATCCCCTTACCACTCTCTGTTCTCCCTTTCGGCAACTAGATCGTCATCTCGAAGCTCTCTCCCTGAACAGGTTTTTGCCGTGAAGAAGTCCCGGCATGTGTATTCTGGAGCCAAAGACCGACAACGTAAAATCCATGAAGTTGATGTCCTGAAGACTCTTGGCCACACCGACCATGTCTTGTCCTTCGTTGACAGCTGGGAAGATCAAGGTCATTTGTACATCCAGACTGAGTTTTGTGAAGAAGGGACCCTAGACATTTTCCTGGCCCAGGTTGGCGTCAAGGCTAGACTTGACGATTTCAGAATCTGGAAGATACTCCTTGAAATGTCATTGGTATGTTTTGCTCTTTTATGATGTGTGCTCTGTTGACATGACGTAGGGACTCCAACACATCCACGATTGCGGATTCATTCATCTGGATCTCAAGCCGGCCAATGTCTTCGTCACTTTTGAAGGGGTCCTCAAGATTGGTGATTTCGGTATGGCAACCAAATGGCCGGCAAAAGCTGGCATTGAGGGAGAAGGAGATCGGGAGTATATCGGTCCGGAAATTCTGATGGGACAATACGACAAGCCAGCAGATATCTTTGCGCTTGGACTGATAATGCTCGAGACTGCGGGAAACGTTGAATTGCCCGACAATGGTGCATCATGGCAGAAGCTTCGAAACGGGGATATGAGCGACGTGCCAAGCTTGACGTGGAGTTCTGATGAAGCAAGCCATATCTTCCGTGACGCATCTGGAAATCCTCTGTCGGAGCCGACTTCATTCGATGACGACGACCTTGGCCATCGTGAACAACAGCATTTGGTTTCAACCATGAGAGACTCCTTTCGTGGGTATGACGAACAATTGGTGGACGATCGTAAATCTGTACACCTTGCTCGCAGTGGGGAGTTGGTCGAGCCACCGACCTTCATGGTAGATCCGAAAAACGAGCAAGCCCTTGATACGATAGTTAGATGGATGATTTCACCAGAGCCGCATGATCGCCCTATTGCCAGTCAGATCCTCCAGACGGTGGGAGTACAATGGGCAGAGACACGACGACGTGCAGGAGCAACAGTATATGAGGGAAATTGGGGACCAGCCGACCATGTCCTCGCCAAGGATGCGGAAATGATCGACGTGTAACTCAGCAGCGTATGATCAAGGCGTCAGGGTAGAGGGTTTCTCGAAAGTCCTTGGACAAGGGTCTCTCTTTCGCTTTGCGGGTCGGGGATGGGGAGTCTTGTGTGCGAACATTGTCCTGTGCATCATGTATCTCTTTTCTTGATGGCGATAGCGATGCACTTCATATTACGACCTGTATGTCTGTCTGTGTTTGAGATTGTTATTGAGCTTGCATCAGCGGCCTACCATACTCTCTTTGTTGCAGCAAGTTGCATTGCATGGTCTTAGCAAGCTCCGACATGGGTGGCATGCTTTTGTTGGTATCATCTTGCATTGATGTCTTTCCCAATCAATGACGGTCCTTTTTTCTTGCAGTATTGCATGGCGAAAGTGAAGAAAGATGAAAACAGACACTGGCATAAACAAGGTGCCCTATGTGGCTTGGGAGGGAGATGCCACAACTGTAGTGATTGGCAGGATAGAAATCGATCAAAGAAGATATTGACTGCAAGTCATCCACGTACTGAAGAATAGTAAATGCAACACGGCAACAAGAGTCAGACGGAGCAGACGTGTAATCACATCAAGACTGTTAAGTTGTGCAGTAGATGACACACTTAGGGGCTCAATGTCAATAAGCAATAACAAGATACGCAATTTGGAAATTTGCTGAAGAGCTTTGTTGTTGGCCTAGAAATAGTACCGGGTCATCACAGCAACATTACACGGAGTACAACATTGACAGCGAAACACCATGTAACCTAAAACCCACTCGTGAGGTTAGATGCTCACAGCACAGTTACTCATGAGCCATTGAACCCATACCAGTACTTGTACGGAGTTGGGCTGCGGAGCTGCTTAGTGACTACTACTGCAACTCACCTCATGAATCAGGCTTTGATGCCAAGGAGAGGAAAATCTGCCCCGAGCTCACCACCCACCACGACCTAGGTACCTAGGGTGATGCGGCTCGAGCCGACCAGCCTTGCCTCCAGGCAGTAAAGTTTCAGCCCGGGGGTGGCTGCACATAGGTTGACCACCCACACGTCCCATGCTTGTCACTAACTCACTCAGTATATTTACTACCTCAAAGGTCGAGCGGGTATAGGAGAAATCCACAATCGCGTAGTGATGGCTCAGTCACCCCATCAGATAGAGACGACATTAACAAAGCTTCTTCTTCAAATGAGGTGGCGATAACATGACTCGTTCGCGGGGGATCCTAAGCACCATTACTTTCCAACTGAAGTTCCAAACTCGAGACTCGAGTTCTAGATAGCTTGTTCTGAGTCACCAGTGTGGTATTCTCGCCAGATGGATCACGAGCAGCTTCAGGCTCTCGCAGCAGAGTTGCAGTGTGCAGTGCTACGATGCTTCCCTGGAACAGCAACTTCGAATTTCAACAATGAAGGAACGAGAGTTGGCTGTTTTTGCTGCCTTATTGAGAAGTCAGTCACCCGGCTCAACTTTGACTCAGTCTCTGCTCAGACTGCACCGTTACTGCTCCCTCTTCTTACCCTCTTACTCAGCTTCTCTCTTAGTGCTGCTTAGAGTCATTAGTCCTACTTCATTTATACCCAGTCCCGCTTTTACGCCCTCGCTATTATTGATGAGCTGTGTCTTGTTCGCATCTACCGTTTCTTTTATTTTTTGTTGATGTGTATAGAGATCAGATAATTTGGTTTTGGATTCTTAGATAAATGATACATTAAGTCTTTACATGTCATGTACTTATCTCTCTCTCTTTCTAACATCTTCTCTGCCTTTTCGTCTCGCTCAATGCCCCAGTTTCTTCTCCATCCACGAGACAACCTTCAAGAACGCCTCCAACCACTCGTATTCCCGCTCATCATACGGCATGATTTTCCGCAAAGGACACCGATGCAAATTCCCAGGCAGGCAATCGGAATGGGGTTCCTGGTTTATGAAAAATCGTGGCTTCGTTTCGCCCAATGACGATCCACAGGCTGAGGTGGGCGACCACTGTATGCGCGGAACGACTAATAAAGGAGAACCGGTGTAGACATACATCAGACCGTCCATCACTACTTCGATGGAGGTAGCGATATCTTCCGGATATCGAAACGGCCCACACAGCTCCTCGCCGGGTCCGGCCACTTGGCTCCTCGAATCCACAACCTGCCCGGCTTCCTCGCTGAGCGACATGTTTTGAGGGGTGTTTAGGAAACCCACGTCAACATTCCCAGGAGGATGTTTCTCTAGAGACTCCAAAAACGTCCACAGGCATCGATCGTACGGTACTAGCTCAATGTTGTCAACCCCAGGATAGCACCCGCGAGTGAGCTGATGATGAATCCTTCTGTCACGGGAAATCTTCTCCGCACGTCTTCGGAAGCCATATTCAATGTGAGCCAGGTTCTCCCTTGGACCTTGCAACGGATCTCTGGGTTTCTTTAGCATCAATTTCTCTGGGAATCTCGACATCAGACCAGCTGCAATAGCTAGCTGTCGAGCTTTTGTAGCATTCAACTTCAGCTTGGCTTCCTTGACCCAGTCCCATCGAGCCCAGAGGTTTGAATCATCCGCATGTGCTGTGTAGTTAGTCGTGGTATTTGAAATCGGGAGATTTTCGTCCTTCGGACTGGCTTCTCTGACCCGGTGGTATCGAGTCGAGAGACTTGATTCGGTTCCATGTGCCGGGTAGTCACTCGTAACACCAATACGCAATAGAGCTTCATCCACGGGGTTAAAAGTCAAATCGCCATCGATCTGCTGGATAAGCTTCTGTTTGAGTTGCTCCGCCGAGTATGATGAAGTTGCAAACCAACGAACAAGCCGTGTGTGGCCCTGGCCAAGTTCGGAGAAATCGGCCGTCAGAGGCTTTCGTGTAAATCGCCGTATCTCGCAGTAGAGAATGAAAAGATCTCTTACACGCGAGATATCTGCTGGTGAACTGAACAAAAACTGCCATTCCAATTGGCCGAAAACACACTCGTCAAGGTACTGGTTCTTGTGGGAGAGGATTTGGAGGATCTTAACGAGAGGCAGCTGTCCAAGCACCATGTACACGAGTTCACGGGGCAACTTTTCAGCGAGGCTGAGACCATGTAGTGAAGGGGGCTTCGACCGCGCCGCCAGTTCTTCGGGATCCATGGCTATGTGGAGGATGAAATTATGGATTGTAATTTGATCCCATCACTGATTTCTTTATGTATTACTTGATTGTAGAAAGAGATTTCGGCGGTGACTCACGACATGATTGCAGCCTGCCCGCGGAGATGAGAGAAGGTTTGGCACCGCGCCCTTTGCAGGCGCCACAATTGCTGGCAAGTATGATTTCAATCTTCATTTCAATCGAGTCATATCCTAGATCAAGAACAAATAATGCGCACGGAAACCAAAACTCCGATTGTTCAGATCAACAACCAGGGCGAAGAGATGCTGAAATCAGAGGCTTCATGCCGCGAGTTCGTCAAGACTAAAGACCCATCAACCATAGCCCGTCAGATTCAGCTGGACCAAGAATCATGTAGGTTATCAAGACTGCCCAGTCTACTGGCTCTATACCTCCCCCCGCCAAAATCCGAGCAAGCCAACGCGATTGCGCTGCACTTGTACCCCGAAACTTCGATGTATTGTCGGTCGATCAGGATGGCACAATACTCTGGCATGGTACAAGTCATCAAGGCGTATTTGAACCAGATGACTTCTAATCTTAAGCATGAGAAGCTAGCAACTGTCGTTGGGGGACTGGAAACTAGGAAGCCTTCGAAGGAACAGATTCAGACGGCTCTCAATGTCCTGGATTTCTTCGTCAAGAACCAAGATATGAATCAAATCAATCTCAGGACCTCACTTGAAGACGTAATCCATGTCTTACGAAAGGATCTCGAAATCCCATCTGAGACCCAAAACTCGTCTGTTCGAGTTTATCCGTCAATTGCTTCGATGGAGGGACCAGTGTCCAGACGCAAATGCTACATCTGCCGTTTTCTGCTTGTTTCCCATCATGCTCAATACTCCTCTCTGTGCAAGCCATGCGGCGATTTTAATCTCGCCTCCTGTGGTCTCTCACTTCCACAGAATCTCCACCTGGAAGGCAAAACAGCTCTGGTCACTGGAGGGCGATTGAACTTGGGCTATCATACAGCGCTGCGACTCTTGAGATGTGGGGCGAAAGTAATTGTCTCAACCCGGTATCCACGTGATGCGGAGGTGAGATATCTGGCGGAGCACGACTCGGAATCGTGGCGTGAAAGGCTGAAGATCATCGGTGCCGACTTTCGGGCAGCAAGTGATGTGTTTCAGCTGGTGGAAGCTGTGAAAGAATGCTTGAGGCGGTGGGATCTGGAAGGAGAGAATAGACTGGATGTCTTGGTCAATAATGCTGCCCAAACTCTAACAGATCCATTGGAGAAGGAACGCCAAGCAGTCGAACAGGAAAAGCGATTCCATGGTTCTAGATTTCAAAGCCAGTTGTTGCTTGGTGGGTCAGGATACGAAGCACGAATCAGAGGTGGTTTTCAGGGGTCGAAATTACTGGCTTATGGCGCAAAGCGGACGACGATGTTTCTGGAAGCCAGCAACGCAGATCTCGGGCCTCAAAACGCCGTCACGGATCAAAATCTCGTACGAAGTAACGACACGGAACTGGTTCCAACCGAGAACAGTCTCAAATCCTCTTGGATGCAATCCCTCCATGAAATACCCTACGAGGACGTGATAACGGCCCATTCAGTCAATACCTTGGTACCCTTCATCCTTATCCGCGAACTTGTTCCCCTCATGAGCTCGCCCGGTTCCAGCAGCTCCCGATCCGAAGCACGAGCAAGCAAACCCCAAGCCTACATAATCAACGTCTCATCTCGGGAAGGAACCTTCGAGTCTTCCCAAGCTCACCCCTCCAAGAACGGACACCATGTACATACAAACCTCACCAAAGCCGCGTTGAATATGTTGACTGCCACGGAAGCAGCGCCTATGTGGAAAGAGAAGAGAGTCGCGATAAATAGCGTGGATCCGGGATACATGAGTGCAGCGCCGGAGATTGAGACGCGATGGTGGGAGATGGCGATGGGTGAGCAAGGAGGGGAAGCAGGCAGGTGGGAATGTCCGATTGGATGGGAAGATGGAGCTGGCAGGGTTCTTTGGCCGATTGCGGTGGGGGAGAAAGGGGAGGCGGTATGGGGGAGGTTCTTGAAGCATTTTAGAGATGAAGAGGTTGGTTGATGTTGGGCCGGGTAGGTGAGGCGTCACGGCGTGAGCCATGGCACCATTATCGACCCGGAAGATGATTGACTATGTAACCTGTTACTACTAATATATAGGACAGCGGTGGTTTACCAGGATATGCAACGATTCGACCCCACAGTACCTCAAGGAGAGTTTGGGATGAAACTAGCACTATAACTTCTCACGACAACCCCTCTCAGATACATCTTTCAAAGGCACGTTGCTGAATCCGAACGCTACTCCACTCCGGACCACTCTCATCTTATTCGGAACTCACAGCTCAGGTTTATCCTTAAACAACAGTCTAACCTTTGAGGGCAGCATAGTGCCCCATCTACCACGGAACAACGGTTCCAAAAGACACGGAGAGCCCTCGCCGAGGGAAAGAATATCCACCGTAGCCTCATAGATGGCCTAACGCACCTCTACAACCTCTTCGTCGCGCTCCGCTACGTGGATGGCGAAGTGTGGGATGTGCAGACAGGAAAGTGTCAATATATGCTTAGAGGTCGTCCCAAGTAGTCACAAGTGTGTCAGAAGTAGCCTCAGGCTCTAGGGATAACGCGGTACGATCGCAGCAGAGCTGTAGTGCTACGATGCTTCTACCTCAAACAGCAACTTCGAATTCAACAATGAAGGAACGAATATCTTGATCAATGGCCGCATTTCACATCCTCCACCGTCTTCGCTTTCAATGAGCGCTGCGATGCGGTGGCACAGCTCTGAACCCAACTTCTATTGCCGCGTTAGGGGTTACTGGGGCATGGATCACATATGCTCCAATCAGATATATTGTGGCTGTGGCTGCTGCCAGAATAGCATCTAGGACGAAGGGCGTGGCCGGGAGAACTCGGTCAACCAATAACATAGAAAAACAGTAAACGAAAAACTCAAGGAATCTAACCTACTCATTTTCACTGTTTATCGCTGCTTTTGTCAACGTTTCGAGAAGTTTCATAGTCAACAGCTATCAGAATACCTCGCTGTCGCCTCTCTCCAACTTACTGTAGTAGCGCCAAGTTTAGCCAAGAGATAATGACGCTAAAATGGACATTTTCGCCACCGGAGCATTGGATAGAATATATGTGATTGAAAGCTGTGTCGCATTCTCATCTAGCTTCGGAATAGTGTTACATATCTTTCCTAGCCAATCGATGGCCATTCTTGTCGTTTAGTTTTCCTCTTCTTTACCTACTTGCATGTTGATTTCTGGTGATTTGGAAAGTTGTACTGCAATCGCGATGGGAATCAAGGAATTGAATTCACGCTCTGTGGAGTGTAGACGCTAACTTTTACCATGCCACGTTCAGGACAATGCTGCAGTAACCCGACCATTTCCGTTCCGAATCGAGTAGTAGCCTTCCAGCTCAGTCGGTGCTATTTTATGCTGCCATACGCTCAGGACGCTTCTGTAGCTCCTTGAGCAACTCGATACCGTCTTTCGTAGCGTCATCTAACTTCTCCTCGGGCAGATCAAGGAGCTCATTCTGTGCCTTGGCCGCGAAGTCGCTAGGATCTTCCGGGTAAAACGCTCTCGAATAGAGCAGCTTACCAAAACCAGACATATTGCCTTTCTTGACTAGTGCCATTCCTTCCTCGTATCGCTGCTTTGTGTTCTCGTGGGTGACAGTCCAGTCAGCATCAGTGGTGCCCGTGACGCGCTTGACACTCTCAAAGATCTCGTTTTGGTTGACGACAAAGCTCTTGAGATAGACAGCCTTGTTGAGCCATGATGAAATCGTCAGACTTTTGTCTTCCTCGTCTTGAGGGAACAGCGGGAAGCTCAACACCTTGGCCACGGCGCGGCCAACTTGAGCCAAGGTGGAGACCGAGTTCTTGGTTTGGCCGTCATCGTAGATGGTCAGGGTGTGCTTGTCGAAGTCGAAACCGAAGCGAGCCTCACCGCCTGCAAGACTGTAGTCGTACCAGAAGCCACAGCATACAGCGATCCATTGCATACCCAGCTTCTCGATCTCTTCTCTGTGGGCCTTGGCAACCGGTCCGAGCAATGTGTCAACTCCAAATTGGACTTGCTCAATGTCGCCGGCATAGCTGTTGGGCATGATGTAGGGAACACCGGCCTTAGCGGCGGCCTGGACAAGTTTGCTGTGGGTGTCGCGAGGGGCAGTAGGAGAGAGTGTGATGATGAAGAACTCTTGGCCCTTCAGCGCCTCAACGATGGTTGATTCGTCGCTATAGTCAACGGGGGCGACGTTAACCCCATCGGGGAGTTTGTTGCTGCTGTCTTTGCGGGAGAGAGCAGTGACTGTGTGTTTTCCAGTTTTCAGAAGAGCAGAGACGAGATGGGATCCAATCGTGCCTCCAGCCTGAGAAGGATTGTCAGCAGCTGTATCTACGGAACTACTTCGAGGAGTATACATACACCGACAATGGCGACTTTTTCAATGGCGTTCTTGAAGCCGGCAGGCTTGTTCTTTGCGTATTCAGACATCTTGGCTGCCGTTGAATTCGCTCTTGATTGAATCAAAGTGAACGGGGGCTTTGGAGAATTTGTTGTATTAGATGTATTAGATGTGGCCGCCGTTTGGGTTTGATGCTGCGAATGCGAATGGCCGGCGTTCTCTGCACCGAAAGCAGGATAGCTGGGTTTCAACAACCGGCTGGTCCGAGCACGGAAATAATTCAAATAATTCAGAAGTTTCATGCGGAGCGCCTGGGTACGAGGTAAGGGTCTGGCTACGGCAAGGCGGAGCAGAGAGCAGAGAGGGCTTGTGAATATATATGACCTAAACCTTAAACCCCCCCTGATTCGGTTGGCCCCTCCGGCCCTTAGTGTGACGGGTCGTTCCGGTCAACTATTCTCCGGGTAACTTACTACGTAGTAGTACGTAGTATTGTTTCTCCGGTACTCCGGTATTCCGTTGGTGCCGCAGCTTGTTGGAGAGAGTTGACAGTGGACTAACTAGTAACGATCACCTGCATATTGATATTGCGCCATGCGGCCCCTTCGGCCCCCCGGCCGTAATAGCTGCCGTAATAGCTGCCGCACCAGTTGCTATCGCGATAAATATACTCCGTGGCAGCCTCTCTTTGACACATTCCATCCGCCCAACACCGAAAAAGTCGACAAAGCAATGCGCTCAGGAATCCGCACATGGCTGATCAAAGAAAAAATAATGAGCAGGTTCCTTACCTGACCTTGGTCTTCGATCCACCCCAATCACCATAACGCTTCATTGCCAAGACAACGACAACATGTCGCCTGCTTACCAGAAGAAGGGGTAGCTAAAGATATAAGCTAAGTGCCATTAGTAGAAATTGTTGAAGTTCTCATTCTGTGGTGTTGTTCATTCATCTATCTAGGTTTTCTAGTAACTACCTAATAGGGATTTCCTGTACCAAGGCACAGGAAATCAGGACACGTGATATGTCAGAGTGGCGCTAAGCCGCTTTGGGAGGTTGGCTGTACATGTACAGCTAACTTCTCTTGGCAGTTGCGGCAGCTTGTGCTGCCCTGCAAGGAGGTTGCTGGCCATACGGCCGTACCAGCGCTAAGCTGTATTATTCGACAGAAATGACAGTTATTTTGTTAAATAACCACTATATTAACATAATAGAAAAGACATATTTTCAGTAAAATATATTATAAATAATAAGATTTTATTAGATTACAGATGACTAAGTTACATATCCTTGTATTCTTTAAGTAATATCATAGTTAGGCTTAATCTAAGCGCACTTTGATGGCTCTCTTTAGCATTATTTTAAGAGGGCCTCTTCCTGCTAAGTGGTGAGGACCATCCAACCCCAGGGGAGACGTCCCGAAAGTCTTCGAACGAGTACCCGGACGACTACGTCTCTGTCCAGTCTCTTGTTCCCTCCTTAGAGAACTATCTGCTGCAACATTTTGATGCCCGGGTCCAACGGCCCCCTTCCGTCGCCGGCGAGTTCTTCTTCATCGCCGTCAACGTCTCCTCGCAGTTCCTCACTCAAGCCTGTCTTGCCACCAGCATCGTACCCCAGCACATTATTGGTCAATCCTTTGGCATCGACAATCAACCCGCACAGCTCAGTTGGTTCACCGCCGGGTACTCGCTAACCGTTGGCACTTGCATCCTCATCGCCGGCCGCCTGGGCGATGTGTTCGGCCACAAGCTCTTCTTCATTGGCGGCTACGCTTGGTTCGGAGTGTGGTCGGCCGTCGCTGGCTTTGCCGTCTACAGTAGCCCGGCCTTCTTCATCTTCTGCCGCGCCATGCAGGGCATCGGCCCGGCCTTCCTGCTTCCTAATGCCATCGCCGTCCTCGCTCGCGTCTACGATCCAAGCCTTCGCCAAAATATGATGTTCAGCCTGTTTGGTGCCAGTGGCCCAGGAGGATTCCTTGTCGGCAGCGTCTTTTCCAGCTTGCTTTCACAGAGACTCTGGTGGCCCTGGTCCTTCTGGATCCTGTGCTTTACTTGCCTTTTGTTGGCCGTCCTCGCCATTTTTGCCATTCCCGCAACCCCAGCGCCGAAGGGCCCACAACCTTGGAATTCCACTGTCTGGCAGCGTGTCGATGTCTTGGGATCCATTCTCGGCGTCGCCGCCCTGGTCCTCTTCAACTTTGCCTGGAATCAAGGCCCAGTGGTCGGGTGGTCAACCCCTTACACCTACAGCATCATGCTCGTTGGCATTTTCGTTTTTATCGCCTTCGTGTTCGTCGAAACGAGGGTGAGCCATCCGCTGATCCATTTGGCGTCCTGCGCATCGACTCCCTCTTCGTTCTGGCCTGCATCAGCGCCGGCTGGGGCAGCTTCGGCATCTACGTCTTCTACTCTTTGAATCTTCTCGAAGTCTTGAGAAAGCAGACCCCTCTTCTCACCTCGGCCCAGTTCAGCCCTATCGCCATAAGCGGACTGATCGCTGCCGGCGCCACGGGTTTGGTCTTGACCCATTTCCGAGCCTCGGCCGTCATGCTCATCTCGATGACCTTCTTCCTCATCGGCGGCGTCATCTTCGCCACCGTGCCAGTCCACCAGACCTATTGGGCACAGACTTTTCGTGGGCATCATCGTGCTGCCTTGGGGTATGGACATGTCTTTCCCCGCCGCCACGATCATCCTGAGTCGAGCTATGCCACGAGAGCATCAAGGCCTCGCCGCCTCGTTGGTCAACACGTTCGTCAATTACTCCATTTCTATCGGACTCGGCTTTGCCGGCACCATCGAAGGACAGGTTAATGATGGAGGAAAAAATATTCTACAAGGATTCCGAGGCGCGTTTTACATGGCTGTCGGCCTTTCGGGCTTGGGAGTAACCATCGCTCTGCTGTTCTGTTTCGTGGAGCGGCATCAGTCGAGGGGGACTGAGGAGGCGGTAAAGCGCGAAACGCCCAAAGGACTTGTTAGGCTATCGTCAATGACGACTTGATGTCAATAATGCAGTACAATTTCTGAAATCTGACTATATCATAACGGAGTTTCGATGTTTCGTCGTCGTTTGGAGAATGGATCACCGCTGAGTTAGTTGGATCATTATTCATTCCATGTCAACGATTTTGAAGTGTAAGCTTTTTGTCCTTGCATTCCTCATCCTTCCAAGGATAAAATTATTACGCGTCGAGAAAGAGACGAACTTTGAAAAGAGATAATGATCATAATATGCCGCTGGCTGACTACTGTTCCTCCAAAGCAGAAAATTAGAAGCGTGGAAAGGTCGTCGAGCAAGAAAGCCGCTGCAATTTAAAGTTTTCATATTCATGCCAAGTGTTTCAATATAAATTTATTAAATGCTGGATCTAATGCATGACCTCATCTACTTTACAACTCTACATGCCCATTTCTAAGATTAACTCCCTCTATAGGCCCGTATTATTGGTTTTTTTCTCTCTCCTTCTCTCTCCCCCTCCCCTTAGGACGTGATCTAGTGCTAGTACTGATTCGCAGCTTCAATGATGCTTGGCAAAATATTCGCCGTGTTGTTCCACACCTGCGTGGATCCCACCACAAACATGGCACTAATATACCAGGTATTTCGGTAACCCTGCAGGCCTTTCATCTGGGTGTACCATCCATTGGCGATGTCAGTGTTACTCGGTGCGAGATGGAAGGGGGAAAAGTCTTTGAAGGCGACAAAGGTGGGTTCCGAGGCAGTCGCGTTGATTTGGGACTCCAGGAATCCGATCGTCGAGCGCGTCAAGGATTCGATCTGGGTCCGAGTTAGGGGGGAGACGGTGTTGTACCAGTAGAAGTAGTAGCCGGGGGAAGCGCTGGGGGCGAATCTGACCACGCCGGGAACGCTGGCGGTGTTATAGGGCGTGTTGGCGCCGGCGTTGAGGTAGGATACGCCGGCTTCGAGGTTGGTGTTGTTGACGACGCCACCGTAGTAGTATTTGCCGGAGATTTTGGACAGGATTGACTGTTCTCTCGAGTCGAGGCCGAAGGCGTTTATTCGGTCGGGCGTGTATGGGAACGCGATGATGAGTTGTTTGGCGCTGATGAGTTTATTGCCGGTGGGTGTGTTGGCGACGAGTTGGACGCCGGAGCCGGGAGTTGAGCCGCGTCTGGCGGCCACGATGGAGGATTGGAGGAGGACGTTGGCCTGGATTTCAGCTAGGGCGTTGCGGTAGATCTGGGAGTTGTCACGGTTGGCGGCACGGACGCCGTCACCTTGGAACTCGGCCAATTTGGTGCGGTGGCCGTCGTTAAGGATGGCGAGGGCGGAGGTGGTCAACGCGTCTCCCGGGGTCGCTGGCCAGTTAAGACCGCCTGTGGTCGAGTTCTCCGAGAGACCGACCTTCTGGGCGAAGTCGGGCCAGTTGAGTAGCAGGTCCGACGGGACCTGAGCCGGCAGATTGTTGAGATCGGCGAGGTAAGAATACTGGTCGAGCAGGGCAACATAGTCGGCACCGACGTTGCCCCGGACGTAGTCCGGAAGAGCTACGCGCTGGGTGAAATCGAAGTATTTTGGCAAGCCGAAATCGCTGAGCTGGATATGGCTCAGAGAACTATTCAAGCGCGAGAAGAAGTTGCGCACGATCGGGGTATCGAGATGGATCTGCACGCCAAAGTCGACGACGGCTCCCGTAGAAGGATCGCGAAAGGTATTGGTGTTGCCACCAAGTCGGTCCGTGATTTCGACCAGAGTGAAAGTCTGATTCTGATCTTTTAAGGCGATTGCAGCATAGGATCCCGCCGCTCCTCCACCGATAATGGCAAAGTCGGTCTGGACCACATTGTTGGCCGAGTAGGACGACGGATCGAATTGACCTTGATCGTGTGTTTGGAGAGCCGCACCCAACGCACCGGCTGCGCTGGCGAGAAGGCACAGACAGAATTTGGACAACATGATACGGAGCACACGTAAATAAGACAATGAAGGCAAATAAGACGAGGACAGGTGACGAGTATTATAATTGCTGCTTGCTGCTTTACCTTACCGGGAGACCTTAGCAGGAGACAACATGGCTCGCTCCCCTTTTGTACTTTTTCTACTTTTGGTACTTGTTCGACTTGTTTCAGTTGCACGAGAGCATAGATGAGGATTCAAGTCGTCCTGGCATGGGCAACTACTTTGCTCCAGAGGCTGATGTACTAAAAAAAAGGTGAGCGCTAGCAACTACTACGGGGGGGGCCTGAAGTAATGTTGGTCTGGTGCTAAGAGCAGCTAGTTCTTATGATGAAAACTCTAGGTTGTGATTCGTCACTTCCAAGCTTATTCTGTGTGCATCTACTATTCTGATGAGTCAAATTATTACATCTAATCTTGTTTGGGCAAAGCTGTTTTTTACAAAAAGGGTTTACAAGTAAGGATACTAGCGCTGAGCTAACATACTTCAGGCCCCCCCGTAGTATAGTGCAGATTAAGTGGCTGTCATCTAAAAATACTAAAAGCTTATAGATAGATTGCACAATGACTAAAGGCACTCAGTGTCCCTAAGACACGTAAGTTACCTTAAAGTTGACTCCTAATCTTACCTAGATATTTGGTGAAGCTTAGGGATCGTCCCGGGTATGACAGACCTGCAATATTAGTGATTGTCGTGAGCTAGACCAAGCTAGCTTTTCTAAGGAAGTTCAATCTTTAGCGTATATAAATAACTTTGGGGGCCTGGGCGGCGAAGCCGACCTCACCTCGGCTACACTCAGCCGTGCCTCGCTGGAAAAACATGGAAAAACATTTACTCCAACATTTCCAATGCGGGCTTAATATTGCCCGCCTCAATTTCTCTTGCCCGGAACGCTTCAACGCTTCAACGTGGCGGACATGTTGCGCTTCTTCGATACGACGATAAATCGATATTTCGTTTATGCGCGGAATATACTTCGTAGTATTGAAAGCCTTACTCTGCCGGACTACGGAATATCGAATATTGCAGCGCCGCACCGTTGAGATAGCGAACCCTGACTCTCATTATGCCTTCTCCACGTGGTGCCATGTATAATACCGGGAGGGCGAACACAATCGGCAGGGGCGGAATCCTGTCGATTGGACGCTTTTTCCTTTTCTATGATGCCTAGTGTCTTGTGGCATATTAATAGCCCATCAGCATTTCTACAAACACCCCCCTTCTCCCGTCCTGATCGTTGATCATCATCGACTCCATTCAAGCCTCGTCTTCTTCATTATTCTTCATTATCACGACAGGGGCCGATCCCAGTTGATGGTTTATGTAGACAGAATGGATTTCAAGAATAGTGAGTGGGCCAGCGAGCCCGCCAGCGAGCCCATCGCCGTGATCGGGATGAGCTGCAAGTTCTCTGGCAGCGCCAGTAATCCAGACAAGCTCTGGGACCTGATGGCTGCAGGAAAGACGGGCTGGAGCGAGATCCCAGAAGACAGGTATAACCTCAAAGGAGTCTACCACCCCAACCACGAAAGAACCAGCACAGTACGTACATTGATCCTCTCATAGAAACGACATTACTGACGAGCCTCGCAGACACACGTTAAGGGTGGACATTTTCTTGACGAGGATGTGGCCGCCTTCGATGCGGCCTTCTTCAACTACTCGGCCGAGATGGCCCAAGTCGTCGATCCACAATTCCGGCTGCAGCTCGAGTCGACTTATGAAGCACTCGAGAATGGTGTGTCCCCTCGTCTCCATGATATTGATGTTCAACTGACGAGGTCCGTAGCTGGCCTACCTCTTTCTCAGGTCATGGGATCACAGACGTCAGTGTTCGCCGGCGTCTTTACACACGATTACCAGGAGGGCATAATCAGAGACGAAGATAGACTACCACGCTTCAACGTCGTGGGTACATGGAGTCCTATGTCGTCCAACCGCATTTCGCACTTTTTCGACCTCCGTGGCGCCAGTATGACACTGGAAACGGGATGTTCGACAACACTCGTGGCCCTTCACCAGGCCGTAAATACCTTGCGTAATCGCGAGGCCGACATGTCAGTAGTGACGGGCGCCAACGTGATGCTGAATCCGGACACGTTCAAAGCTATTGGTTCGCTAGGTATGCTGTCCCCCGACGGCAGATCATTCGCGTTCGATTCGCGTGCCAACGGTTACGGTCGCGGAGAGGGTGTCGCCACAATCATCATCAAGCGACTGTCAGATGCGTTGGCTAACAATGACCCCATCCGGGCTGTGATCCGCGAGACAGCCTTGAACCAGGATGGTAAAACAGACACGATTACCACACCATCGGCTGCCGCCCCGGGCGAACTGATGAGGGAATGCTACCGCCGAGCTGGCCTTGACCCGCGCGGCACTCAATATTTTGAAGCACATGGCACCGGTACTCCAACCGGCGACCCCATCGAGGCCAGCGCCATGGCCGCCATTTTTGCTAGAGGCGAGGGCCGTGACGATGAGGACTACTACCTTCGAATCGGGTCCGTCAAGACCAATGTGGGCCACACCGAGGCCGCTTCTGGTCTCGCCGCCATGGTCAAGGGTGTCTTATGTCTGGAGAAGGGATTGATCCCACCCACTGTCAATTATGAAACTCCCAACCCGAAGCTCAAGCTCGATGAGTGGCGTCTTAAGGTGGTGAGGAGCATGGAACATTGGCCCGACAGCCTTGTCGACGGACCTCGCCGCATGTCTATCAACAACTTCGGCTATGGCGGAGCAAATGCCCACGTCATTCTGGAGAGCGCCGACCCATGGACTCTGACATCAGGTCTTGATGTCAACCCTATCAATGGCAACGGCCACACCAACGGCCACACCAACGGCCACACCAACGGCCTCACCAACGGCCTCACCAACGGCCACACCAATGGCCATTACATTCACGATACCACTGACGACGCCAAAGTCCTCATCCTGAGTGCTCGGGACGAGCGCGGTTGTCAGCAAATGCTTTCCGACCTCAAGGCGTACCTGGAAAAGAAAAAGTCGCTTGGACAGGATGCTTCGGAGCAGCTACTGCGTAACCTCAGCTACACGTTGGGTGAGCGCCGAACACTCTTCCAGTGGGTTGCCGCCCACCAGGTGCGTCTGGATGAGGACGGTACCCTGGAGGCCGCAATCCGAGCGCTCGAAACACCTCGCTTCAAGCCCAGCCGCCGAGCCGCCGATCGCCCACGCATCGGCATGGTCTTCACCGGTCAAGGCGCGCAGTGGAACGCCATGGGACGCGAGCTCTTGACTTCATATCCTATCTTCCGCCAATCTATCGACGAAGCGGAGGCGATCCTCAAGGATCTTGGCGCGGAGTGGTCGCTCCTCGAGGAGCTCCTGCGCGACAAGAAAACGACAAAGGTCCACGCCACCAATATCAGCATTCCTGTATGCGTCGCGCTGCAGATTGCATTGGTACGTCTACTGGAGTCGTGGGGGATCACGGCCTCGGCAGTTTGTAGCCACTCGTCAGGCGAGATCTCGGCCGCGTACGCCGTTGGTGCCCTCACACATCGTCAAGCCATGGCGACGGCCTACTGGCGTGCGGTCCTCGTGGCGGACCAGACGAAGCGCGCATCTGGTGCTCCTAAGGGTGCTATGGCTGCGGTGGGCTTGGGTGTTGAGGCAGTTCAGCCTTACCTCGACAGGCTAACCAAGGAGAACGGCAAGGCTGTTGTTGCGTGTGTCAACAGTCCTCAGAGTGTCACCATTTCGGGCGATGATGCCGCAGTGCAAGAGATCGAGGACTTGTGCAAGCAGGACGGTGTCTTTGCTCGTCGTCTCAAGGTGCAACAGGCATATCACTCACACCATATGGATCCCTGCGCCGCTGACTACCGAGAGCGCCTTCGACTTGAAATGGCGCGCGATGTTGAGCAGCGTACTAAGCAACAACATCTTCAAGCATCGAAGCAAGAACTGAAGGCCGTTTTTTCGTCAGCCGTCACTGGAGGACGTGTCGCCGACATCAAGCAAATCGCCAGCCCTGATCATTGGGTTGGTAGTCTGGTAGGGGCAGTCGAATTTGTTGATGCCTTTACTGAGATGGTCTTGGGCGATCCGGACGATCCGACTGGCAGGAGCGTCGATGTGCTCCTGGAGGTCGGCCCTCATACTGCGCTGGGTGGCCCTATCCGCGAGATCTTGTCTCTATCTGACTTTGAGGGCCTGGATCTCCCATACTGGGGCTGTCTGGTACGCGACGAACACGCAGGCGACAGCATGCGATCGGCCGCTCTCAACCTGTTCCGTCAGGGTCACCCTCTTGTCATGGACCAGATCAATTTCCCGGTGCATGCATACGATGACGAGAGTCCCCAAGTCCTCACAGATCTGCCTTCGTACCCCTGGAACCATACCATGCGCCACTGGCAAGAGTCGCGAGTCAACAAGGCGATTAACGAACGTAGCCAGCCGCCACATGAGCTGCTCGGCATGCGCGTCGCAGGCAATGATCCCAGCTCGACCGTATGGCGCCGTATTTTGCGCGTTAGCGAGACCCCGTGGGTCCGCGATCACATGGTACAAGGCAGCATCGTGTATCCAGGCTCTGGCTACATTTGCCACGCGATTGAGGCAGCTAAACAGCTGGCGGAGGAAGACAAGTCTGGCAAGGACATCTCAGGTTTCCGATTGCGGGATGTCAACTTCCTCTTTGCTTGTGTGATCCCCGATGGCGCAGAAGGTGTTGAGATCCGCACAACACTGCAGTTTGTTTCTGAGCGAGAGATTGGTGCTCGTGGCTGGTATCGCTTTGAGGTATCTTCAGTCACCCTGGATAACCGCTGGACATTACATGCCAAAGGAATGGTCATGGCCGAGCGCGGGGCGGCTGCTCCTGAGAAAACAGCAAAGCGCCGCCCGTTGTCGACATACACACGCCAGCCAGATCCCCAGGACTTGTTCGCGAACCTCAGAGCGCGCAGTGTCAATCATGGGCCGCTTTTCCAGAACACAACTAGGATTATCCAGGATGGCCGAGAAGCTCGCTCCGTGTGCGACGTCACGATCCGCCACGAAGCCTCCTCCGATACAGACCCGCTGGTTGCCGCAAAGAACACCTTGGTGCATCCGATCACGCTCGATGCCGTCGTTGTGGCATTTTACTCTGTTCTGCCTAATGTCGGTGCTCTGCAGGACGACCCCAAGTTACCGCGTTCCGTTGCGTCTTTCTGGATCTCGAACGACATAAGCACCGAGGTCGGCCGTACGCTCTGCTGTGACACGTCACTTCTGCACGATGATGCTCAAAGTGGAACGGCTAATATCACAATTTTTGATAGCGAGACGGACTTGGCGGTGCTCAGCATCCAGGGACTCGAGTTTGCGTCTCTTGGACGTGGCAGTGGTGCCACTGCCCGCCAGGACGCGGCGAACCGAGGCGGCGCCGCCTTCACCCCCAAGTGGGAGCAAGAGGTGGTCAGCAAGCTCGTCTGGGGACCCGATTTCTCGCTTCAAAACCCCTTGGCTATCGAGCAAATCAAGAACGAGCTGGCAACCATCGAATCCGGTGCAACCGGAATCAAACAGCTCTCTCTACTGTTCCGTAAGGTTGCACACAAGAACCCAGGTGCGCGAGTCCTCTGCATCGGTAGCGGAACTGATGCACTCGCGACACGCAGCCTCCTAGAGACTCTTGACCAGCCCCTGGTAGGAAGCTGGCACATCACCGAGCCAACATCGGAGTCCTTGGAAGATACTCATGCTCAGCTTGCCGAGTGGGCCAGGGTGCTCGAATTCGACCAGCTCAACATCGAGGAGAGCCCAACTAAGCAGAAGTTCACCACTGGAAGCTACGACATCGTTGTATCCGTTCAAGCTCTTCGCTCCGCCAAGGATATGGCAAATGCTCTTGCCAATGTGCGCAGCTTGCTGAAGCCCGGCGGCACACTTCTTTTTGCGGAGACGGCCAATGGAATATCGTCGTGGGATGGCTTGCTTCGTGACGCTGGATTTCGCGGTGTCGACCTCGAGGTTCGTGACTCCGAGCTCGACTCCGTCGATTCCAAGAGCGTTGTCATGTCCACCGTGCCGCTTCCCGAAAACAAAAAGTCCAAACTGAGCAATCAAGAGGGCTTTGTCGTGGTTACCAGCACCAGAACTTGTCCGCCATCAGGCTTTGTCGATGTGCTCTCTCTGCGTATTAAGGCTTTGACCGGCACGGATGCCGAGCATCTTGTCCTTGAGCAGAGCAGCTTCGACCTCTACAAGGGCAAGATCTGTGTCTTTGTGGGCGAGATTGAGACACCCATCATGGCAGATCTGGACTCGGTGACTATGGAAGGTCTACGTGCCATGGTCACGCAGTGCGAGGGTCTGCTGTGGGTCACCGTCGGTGCTACCGTTGCGGGCGAGATCCCGGAACGAGCTTTGCACCAGGGATTCCTGCGTGTGTTGCGCAACGAATACATCAGCCGTCGCTTCCTATCTCTGGATCTGGACCCTGCACATGCAGTCGAGAGATGGTCGTCCGGCGGCGAGACTATTGTCTCAACCATCGTGCAAGTTGTCGAGGAAGGATTCTGCCGTGTCGACTCGGAGACGGGACCACAGGAATTCGAGTATGCTGAGCGTGATGGCGTGTTGCACATTCCTCGGTACTACAAAGACGAGCAGTACAACAATATGGTTGCTGGTTCGCTCGTGCCGAGCTGGGCTGAGCTTCTACCACAAGTTGCCAAGGACGAGAAGGAGGGTGTCGACGGCCTTGCCAACCTTCCTCTGGAGGCTCTATTCCAAGAAAACAAGCCATTGCGTCTGGAGGTTGGCATTCCTGGACACTTGGACACATTGGCTTTCGTCCACCATGAAGACGAGCAGCTAGGATCTGACCAAGTTGAGATCACTCCTCGGGCCTACGGAGTGAGCTCACGCGATGTCCTGGCCGCCATGGGCCAACTCAAGGATCGTTCCATGGGCGAAGATTTAGCAGGAGTCATCACGCGCGTTGGCAATGAAGCCCAGGCACGCGGCTACAATGTCGGCGATCGTGTTATGGCGCTCTCGACAGGCGCGTCATTCGCCAGCCGTGCTCTTGTGCCGTGGCATGCTGTCGTGAAGATCCCAAGCAGCGTGGACTTTCTGAGCGCTGCATCGATTCCTCTGGCTTTCACTATTGCGTATGTCGCTCTCATAGATACTGCGCGCCTGGAGGCTGGGCAATCGGTGCTTATTCATGCCGCGTCTGGAGCGATTGGACAGGCCGCCATTATGCTTGCACAGCAGATGGGTGTAACGGAGATCTATGCGACTGCTGGATCGCCTGAGAAACGAGAGCTTCTCCAGCGCGAGTACGGCATCCCTGCTGAGCACATCTTCAATAGCCGCGACGCATCTTTCGCCCCAGCCGTCCTGGCCGCTACAAACGGACATGGTGTCGACGTCGCTCAACTCACTTCCTGGCGCTCTTCTGCAGGCAAGCCTCAGCACGGTTGCGCCTTTGGGTCACTTGATCGAAATTGGCAAACGGGACGTCGAGAGTAACAGCCTGTTGGCTCTGGATTCATTTTCTCGCGGTGTTTCGTTCGTTTCGCTGGACTTCCCAACGCTTCTGCGCCGTGGTGGGAATCGCATCTCCCGTGCGCTTGGTGAGATCGCCCGTCTGATCGAACAGAAGGCAGTAAAGCCGGTTCAACCCGTCATTTGTTACCCAATGGCGCAAGTCCAATCCGCTTTCCGTTTTGTCCAAACGGGCGCACAGATAGGCAAGATTGTGCTCTCGGCTAATCCAGACGAGCAGGTGCATGTGGTTCCACAGCCAGTAGGTGTCACTACTAGAGCCCAACTACGATCTGACGCTTCATACCTTGTTGTGGGTGGTGTGGGCGGCATTGGACGCTCAGTCGTCCAGTTTCTGGTTGCTCACGGCGCGAAGAACCTGATTCTGCTTTCTCGAAGCGCTGGCGACCTCGACCTTGACAAGAACAAGAGCACTGATGGCGCTCTATTCTTGCGCGAACTGCGTGACATGGGCTGTCGCGTGAAGCCGGTCAGCTGTGACATTGGTCTTCCCAGCTCACTCACAAAAACTCTCAGAGCCTGCGAGAACGACGGCTTGCCACCAGTGCGCGGTGTCATCCAAGGAGCCATGTTGCTGCGGGACGCCATCTTTGAGCAGATGACCCTTGATGACTGGCGCAGTGGACTGTCCCCTAAGCTCTACGGTACCTGGAACTTACATACCGAATTCTCTCAACCCGACTCGCTTGACTTCTTCATCATGCTCTCCTCGGTCTCGGGCGTGGTAGGCATAGCGTCGCAAACGAACTACGCTGCAGGTGGCTCGTACGAAGACGCCATGGCTTGCTGGCGCCAGTCTCGCGGTCTCCCCGGCGTCGCAATCGACCTCGGCCCCATCTCTGACATTGGCTACGTTTCGACGTCCTCGAAAGTTGCCGAACGCCTGCGCAAGGACGGTGACTTCATCATGCTCGACGAAGACATTGTCCTCCGCGCCCTTAACGCCGCCATTACCCACCCTCTCGACTCCCGTCCCCAGATGATAGTCGGCCTCAACTCCTCCCCCGGTCCACAATGGGACGCTAATGGCCGCTCTCAACTCGGTCGAGACGCTCGCTTTCTTCCTTTGCGGCCTATCACCAAAACGTCCTCTTCATCGGCCGAAGGCGAATCCTCAGGCGCATCCCTCTCTTCCCTCCTCTCCTCGGCCGCCGACACCCAAGCCGCGGTCGAATTTATTGGCAGTGCCATCGCGACGAAACTGGCCGACATCTTCATGATGCCCGTGGGCGAAATCGATCTGGCAAAACCGCCGGCTCATTTCGGCGTGGACAGTCTGATTGCAGTTGAGCTGCGGAACATGTTGGTCCTGCAGGCGGCCGCTGATATTTCGATCTTCAATATCTTGCAGACAAGCAGTTTGGCTGCGCTCGCGGCCTTGGTGGCGGAAAAGAGCCGATTCTTGCAGAGTTCTTGATTGAATGATCGTTCACCATTCTAGGCGAGGATGGGTGGTGGGCAACGTGGAGTTACGGTTCTTGCGTTACGTTTCTTCTCTTTGAATTGGGATTGATATTTGGAATTGATCAACGGTTTGGCGCTGGGTTAGAAGGATATCTTTCCTACTAGATTTCTTTTCATCAATACAACAAAATGTCAAAATGCGCTTCTCTACAGAAATTGAACCCCCCCCCCCCTGAACATTGTCATCGATGCATATGAAACGTCCCATCTCAAACCGAACTCCTGCACAATGTTACGCGGTTCGCGGATTTAAAAACCTCATGGAACTAAGGTTTCGCCCCACACAGATGAGACGTATGATTCAATGACCACCATGGTACCGGCATATTATATCATTCTATCTAATATATATCATCTATCTAATATGAACTCACCGCCAAGCTTATGTAATTGGCTGTTACTGATGAAGTGGATGAGTGGAATTCTATCTACCGGCAGAGTTTATCTCTAGGAGGAGAGGCTAATACTAAGTTACTGCGCAGAGTGCGGTCACGTGATGCCAAGGATTTGGTCGTACGCGTACAGCCAATTCTAACAGTTACAATAATGAGCTTAAAACAGCCTTCTGATTTGGGTTAGGCTAGTAGGCTAGCTTAAACCTTTAACTGCTTATTAATTTTGTTGGAATTGGCCGTACGTGCCGTACGTGTACAGCCAAATCCTTGGCATCACGTGACCGCACTTCTGCGCAGTAGTATTAGCCTCTCCTCCTAGAGATAGACTCTGCAGGTAGATAGAATTCAGTTCATCCACTTCATCAGATTTGCCATGAAAACGCCAAGATAACCCGGCCTACTAGTAACTCGCGGGTTTTTGAGCCGGGTTGGTGTGACAGTGTTTGATTTAGTATACAAGTAGTGGGTAGTAGAAAGCCGTCAGCTTTCTACTTTGTGCCTTTTGGCCCGCGGGTGACGCAGTGGCAAAAACCAACATCCACACAGCTCCGTTCCAGTTGGGCCCGAGCCCCCTCCTAGAACCCGGCCCAACCCGGCCCATGTTAGCAGCCTAATTCTCCCGAATATCGAAAAATCTAGCCTATATTTATACACTTTTTCTATCGTAAATTTTTGAACCTTTTTTCTAATTGGTTGCTGTAGCCGCAAGCCTCTACTCAAATCGACATTAGGTTCTGGCTGGTAAACCCTGATTTGATAACGCTTGTTTAAGGTGCGCAAGCAGATCACGTGCTCTGCGTCATGTTGATATCTGAACCCTTGACAGGTATAAAGCTGAAGGGTGCGAGTTCGAAATCTATGTGAAAGCACAATGGATGTCGAGATTGGGTTCTAGGAGTTGGCAGAAGTTCTGTGCAAGTCCTTTGGGGCCGTTCGAGGCCTGCAACATCGTGATGATGCTTGGGAACAGTTTGATGTACGCGTCATTCAACCCAGGATGAGATTGAGAGAAACGAGCGCCGAGGAGGAGTAGAATTGGCGTTAAGGGATGCATCTGTGGCATGGTCAGCATCTTTCTGCTTGGACTCTACGAAATTGCAACGGCTTCTTACCTGAAAGTGCTGGTCTAGAAAAGAGATTAGGACCGCTACATTGGCCACAGCATCCAAAGACTGCTGCTTTTGTTCTGCATACAGAGCCTGTGCGAGCTGCGTTCCTTGCGCATCGGTACCCAGAGACCTGGATGTGACAAGGTCGTAAAGCATAAGCATGGATATATGTGCTGCGAGAGCAACGAAAGCGAGGATAGGATCCGGATATCCCAACGATGCAGATATTTGTAGCACCTGGATACGTTGTGTCAGTAGCGCATGCAGAGCGCGATGTTGACGACAGAACTCTTGATCAGGTCTGCCCGGCGCTTTCAGTGTATGTTCCAGGACCCGTCCGCAAACGGTCGCGGCGATGACGCATTCTGTGAAGTGCGACAGGTTGTTCTGTGGCCATTCTAGGCCAACGACGGGAATCACGTCTGTCAGAAAGCCTACGTCTATGGGGAGATTGTTGGAGAAGTTGACTTCGGGAGCTGGGAGACGCGTGCGGATCTGGTAGGAAATGTCAACACCGTTGTGCTTTAGAGAAAGACGCCCAGCAAACTCACCAGGCGTTCATCAAAGAACATGTGCAGCCCATCGACCATACATGTGAAGCGGTCGATCGTATATGCTAACCAGAAGGTCCGCCTCTTAGTTTCAACATCGACCCAGTCGTCCTGGACCGGACCTTGAAGGACAAGCTGACTATGATACTTATCCAGTTGCATGGTACCAGGGGTGGTCGGGGCATCAAGTTCGTATAGCCTCATCATTTGGATCAAGCGGAAGGCTCGACCGGCCGACATCATGCCTCGGTGGAAGTCCTGGCATGTGAGTTCGTAGATGGCGAGCAATGTCCACGCTTGAGCCTGCTGGAAAGACACTTGGTGATAAGATTCATCTGACTCTAGCGCGTGCAGGAGTTGTCTAGTTTTGGTATACAATTTGCGCCCTTCGATTGAGAATTGACTAGAGAGTGACGAGGCCAGGGTCCACATGGCAAGTTGTAGGCAGGTCCTCTGCTGGCTCTTGTCTCGTTGTTTGGACCAAGAACGGTAGCGGTGGGCTTGGACGATGGGTGCAAACGCATAAGCGCGATCGAAATAAAGCTGATCTCTGTACAGTGTTAATAGACTTTATCAGGCAGCTCGGCGGGGAAGGTTGAGGCTTACAGGTCATTATGCATCATAGGAGTGATGACCAAATCGGTCTCCTTTGGAAACTGAGCTAGCTCTTGAAGATGGTCTAACGAGGTAAGCGAGGGAAAGGGCGGGCTCGTGTACGCATTCTCGAGGCATCCGAATGGCTCCATGGAAATAATGGGAAAGGGGGAATCGAATGGGAGTGGCGAGGTGGGGATGCCATCGGTTATTTCAGGATTCGTGCTCGTGGTGTGTTGGATTTTGTTGTTGTCGATACTGCTACCTCTACTTCCCGCTTCGTCCTCAGGAGTGCTGGCCCCTTGGACCGACGAACATGCCCTTGTCTCGGGAGGGGTGTTGGATCCGCTTCGTTGTGATTTCTCCAGCTGGGTTTGGAGATCCTCTGACCCGGGACAGATGATCAACATAGTTCAGAGAGGTAGGGAGGAGGATAGTGAGTCTTACCGATTCTTTTCTGTAGCGTCTTGAGATATCCCTTCTTTGGTCCTCGAGGGGGGCAAGTCTCGCGGACTACGCATTGGACGCCGGCAGTACTACAAGCCATGCATTGAGGTTTCCGCCGGTCGCAGCGTATCCTTTTTCGTCGACATTCTTCGCACTAATAGTCATGGGTATGTCAGCGCCAGTCAGTCGTCGTGGGAATACGGAGGGTTGGCATACGGCGACACCCAGTTGCAGTCGTGGTGGTGTTTCGGCCATTGTTGCTGGAAACCGGGGCGGCCCTGGTCGTGTCGAAACAGAGGATCTTTAGAGTCTGGGAGATTCTAGTATTGTTGCAGGTGGCTGCTACCTTGAGCGATAGGCGACGATCGATGTTGATGAAGGGCCGTTAGACATCAAAGCGGGCCTGTACTTGACAAGTTGTGTATAATACAGTAGACCCTTGAATTCATGTCGATAGAAAGAAGCGTCCGATCGAAGCAGGCGTGGAAGGTGTTATCTTTATGAAGTATCATCAAACAAAAGCTACTTAGCTTACGGTCCTCTGAGGCCTGTGGTCCTTTTGGTCCAACAGTTAGTTGAACGCCTGATATCGGTGTGGCGTCCCGAATGAGGTCGCTACCGTTGTTAGTACAACTCTAGCAACATCTTCTCTACTACGTAGTAGAAGACTATATGACTGCATCTTCCCACGTGCAACATAGTTGCTCGTATACGGCTGTAGGAGATATATGCAGGACGAATAGGAAGGTCTCGGCCATTAATTGGAGAACGGGCACCCCTACCTAGTTGGCAAGGCTGACTTCTAGCTGCATATGGCTATCTAAGGTTTGATGAATCGGAGACTAATTTAGGGTTAAGTACGCCTTAGGTGCCAGCTGGCACTCACTTACTATATTAAGTAGATGCATATGCGATTACGAAGGATCGTCGGGCCCAACTCAATCTACCTTCGCTCCGATGTTGGATAGGCCTTGGCAGGGTTGGTAAACAGCACAGTTGGTTAAACAACTACTACGTAGTATGCAGCGGAGATAGCATGCAGAGGGGTATCTGTACTTTATCCCTTGTCGAACTCTGCTTGGCATTACACGTGGCGCAAGTATTACTGAGCTAAGGATGGGTTCAACTGACTAAGACAAGGCTTAACGATAGGTACTAATCTAGTACTCGTAATGTAGGTAGTAACTGACCGCTGATTAATTATAATTAAATTAAGATCAGTTCAAGAAGTTAGCAAAATTCAATAATAGAAAGACATCTTCATTAGAATCAAAAAAGTAAAGACTACTACTAATGCCGAATATGGCGAGCATGCAAATAGTGTGCGGAGGTGTACCACCTTGACAAGAGGATTTGGCTGTACTACTACGTAGTATGTACGGAGGTGTGCCCCAGAAATTGTCAAACTGCATCAGTGATGTCATGCGCCTGCTACACGCCAGCCACAAGCCAGCCATACCCACACGCCTGCCGTGCGCCAGCCGTGCGCCGCCAAACAGAGGCCTTATAGCCCTCTGCAGGAGAAGAATCTACATACTTCCACCACACAGAACAGCGTCTTTTCTACGCCCTTTTTGCGCCTTTTCTTATCTCTTTCTGTTAGGCCGTGGCCGTCTAACAAGTGACAGGGTTCACTAGCACTAAATTCAGGCTGTAGCCGTAGTAAGCCACATTCAACATCAGCTCTCTATGGCCTCTGCGGCTATATTTGAGCGTACGCACAAACAGGTCCTGGCCGAGGCTGTAGCCGTAGCTGTGACCTCGAAATACGCCTCCTCCTCCTCCTCCTCCTCCTCCTCCTCCTCCCCCTTCTTCTTCGCCTCCTTCGTCGCCTGCTCCTTCTCCTCTTCCTTCTGCGTCTTCTTCTCCTCTGCTGCAAGAAGGCGGATAATAAGGAGGAGGATAGCATGAAGAAGGATAGTAAGGAGGAGGATAATAAGGAGGTGGATTCGTAGTTAGGATGTAACCTAGGCCCGGCCCTAGGCTGCTACATACTACTACGGTACCAGGCAGAAGTATCCATAGAGCTCGGCGCTAGTATCTCCGCCAGAAAACGGACTACAAACGAACCAGCTAAGCCTTAAGAAGCTAAGTGGTACTACTATAGCCAATAATTATGGAACATTCTCCAGGAAGCTTCTAGACATCAATGTGGCGCTGTATCGGAACTAGCTGTTACTAGCACCGAGCTATGAATACTTCTGCCCCCTACCGTAGTACGATAGGAGGCATAAGTGTTCGTAGCATGGCACTAGTAGCAACTAGTTTAGATACAGCGCCACATTAGTGTCTAGAAGCTTCTTAGACGATCGTCCATATTGATTGGACAAACCCATACCACTTAGCTGTTCAAAGCTTAGCTGTCTTGTCAAAAGCCTGTTTTGCTACAAAGATACTAGCGCCGTGCTACCAATACTTCAGCTAGGTACCGTAGTCGGCCAGGACCACCGGATTAGGCCGGGTTCTAGGGGTCAGGCTAAGCTACCTAAATTTAGGGTGTCGCCTAACCTAACCTGGCCTAAAACCTAACCTGCACTAGGTTGGCTTAGCCAATATACTACGGTAAGAGGCATAATGTTTGTCAATACAGTGCTAGTAGTAATTAGTTCTGATACGAGTTCATAGATAGCTAATTAGTTGTCGAAAAGCTTACAAGGTCAAGCAGCCATATAAACAAGACTATTAACTCTAATTAATCCATCTTTGAATTAGTGCTGCTTAGCCTCGCTTGTTTAGTAATTGTTTTGGTCCAAAGATACTAGTACGGAGGTGACAAACATTATGCCTCCCCCAGTAGTAATAGCCTACAAAAAAGTCTTAGCAGACCCTTAATAAGCCCTTAGCAGACTTTAGGCTAGGCTTAGCATAATAAAACCTGGCCCTTGATAGGCCAGCCTGCCTAAATCCAGGGCTTGGCCCAACCCGCACTGGGTTGGCCTGGCTTATGTAGCAGCCTAATAAGCTTCAACCTTACTGCGGATATGGGCAGAGCAATGAGGATGAGCAGTCCAGAAAGCACTGATTATAACAAGAACTCATAACATCAAGGATGTCTATCTCAATACCAATTTAGAAAGTAGGAGCGTGCTTAAATAAATAGTATTAAAGCAGTAGCAGCGTGTGAGATTATGGCAGGAATGTTATATACAAATTATTATTATTACGTTACACCAACGGCCCAACGGGTTCCAAACGCCAATAGACCTTTGCCGAATAGACTTTTGCCGAATAGACCTTGGCGGTAGACTACACTGGGGATAAGATTGTCCGACTATGGTAGAACTGGAATAACTTCTCCCTACCCGTGCGAGTTTCGCCAACTCGGCCGGAGGAAGAGGCGATCTTGGGCTCAGCTTCAGCTTGCGGGACGCGGAACATCCAAATCTGTATTGTGCAAGCGCTATTGCGACGGAAATACTATGATGAGTTTTTCAATGCAGCGTAAGAAAAGCTTTGCATACTCCGTCTCACCCGATAGACGGAGTAATATAACGAATGCTTCCAGCAGTACATAGTCAGAGAAGACTCCACCATTCCTCCAACACAACCGACTTCGAACCCCAGCATTTTTCACTTCCACTGTCCACATTGGCTTCCACATTGACCAGTTCCCGACGGTCAGAAACCCCACTGCAACCATGGTGCAAAACGGCACGCCTCTCGCCGCCAAACTCCCCGGGCCGCCTCTGAGCGACCGCGACGCCATTGCCGACGCGTGCTACCGCGCCTTCGCCTCGATCGACCAATCCTGCGAAGAACTCCTCCAATCCAGCGTCACCCCGGACGTGTACACCGACATTGCCTTCAAGGTGTGCAACGGCTACGACGAGCTGCGCAGCAAGGTCTGGACCCACATCAACGAGAATCTCGACACCGTCCACTACCTGACCAACATGCGCGTCAGCCTCGACACGGAAACGACGGCGCGCGTGACCTTCGCGACCCAGGCGGTGCATTGCCTGGTCGGCAAAGGCTACGAGGCCGAATCGCCCAAATTCATCACGGGTGCGCATTTCAATTGCGATGCGGTTAAAGTGGAGGATGGGTTTTGGAAGTTGAAGATGATGAAGAGTACGCATGTGTGGTGCACGGGTGATCGTTCCATCATGAAGCCACCAAATGCGCAGTAGAAGGTAGAGGCCGGTCGTCGAAGGGCATAGACTGAATAGAACTGTCTTTGTGTAAGGCTGTCTCTAAATAGAGCTGTCGCGTTGCAGATATGTATAACACGTCGATCGAAATCCAAGCGCCGATGTCGGATTCCAAATGGCCATTGATCCAGAGATTATCGTAATTCGTACTTTCCCGTCCACCGGAGAATGCTGCCTAAGCACTTGCACACTTTTCGAAAGACAGACTTATTAGTCAACCATTCGTAGAGTCATGTTTCTTAGGACATTCGCCAAAGTTAGACTACGCGTAAGAATACTCCGTACTGTACAGCAGGTTCGCTAACTTTGGAAAATCTCACTTATGCTTTTATAATGGAATGGGAGTATAACCCGGAGAATCTTTGTACGCCGACCTCTAACCCCCCC